TATTATGAGATGGCTTTATAATAGTGTTATTCCTTGTATGACACTGTCGTTGATTGGACCGGATTGACCAGTCTCTGTTGGCATATAATATCTTAAATAATTATTATACCATACGTGATAAATACATCTTGACAAATAGAGCGACTTACGCATTCTAACATTTTATACAGCAAAGAAAAAATAGGCCCATTTGCAACACTAAGGGAACTAACCTTAAGAAGCTATTCATAACTCCCATACAGATTTCACCTTTACGCATACGATACATCACATTTTTTATACGACAAAAATTGCACTTCTCTATAACGCATAGGGCGGTTCTTTCTTAAAACTAACATGCCATAGAACTCTGACTCCAGTAATGTGTGAATGGTTATGTCTACGCTTTCATATGTTCGAATATTCTATGATTCTGTGGATATGGGGAAAAAAGATGGCTTAAGTTATTCTAAAAGACATTCAGACAATACAAGCAAGCTAATATGTTTCAACTTTGAAATTCTGCTTGTCAATGTTGTTTTTAACACAAGTTTATACTCAGGATGGAATAAGTGTATTATGGTTGCGAATATACATTGAGTGATCGCTGAAGAACAACCAGTTTCATGCTGTCTAGACCTGAGTGCTCACCGAATTCTATTGATTATTTTGAAATGTAGCCACCAAGCTATCAATCCAGTCCCATCAGAGCTCACTGGTAACGTCGCTAACTGCCAAACCGGGTGATGCGGGTTCAAACCTCACAGGGAGCATCAATTCCCTTGGGGTTGCAGACGCATCTTGCTGACGAAAGCCAACAAGCACGAAATCTAGGTCAAGAAGGACTTCCTGTGGTTTGCTTCCAACCAACTAACACCTATCAAAGGTTGCAAATATGCGACATTATTGCAAATTAGTAACCATCCAGGATTAGGCTAAATTGGTTAGAAAAAGGATGATGCCTAGTAAGAATGTCTTCATAGAAGATAAGTGCAGGATTAAGTAGAAACAAAGGTATTTGGAATGCAAGTCAATCCCTGAGATGGTAAACGTGTTCCAACCGAGGTAAGTGAAATGCGACACACAGTTACCGCTTACCTGTCGTGTCAAATTAAAGAGTAAAAGTCGGCTGGAAGAAATCTGAAAGTAATCAAAACAGCACACAAAACCAATGCATGGAACATTGACTATTCATCCCAGTTGTCTAGCAAATGGCATGAAACAAACAAGGATTTTAGGAGTCGGTCGTTGGAGACATTGTATGCAACGTCCCTAAATCTATTGTAATAACATATTTATTCATTACTTAACCTGTTTCGAAATCTTTTCTCACTATTCTCCTTTCAACGTTCCATCTCCACTCACTAGTTGTAAGATCCTTCAAATTAGTTTTGTCTTCTATCTCGATACTGTTATGAGACCCGGCGACTCGAAACAAATCACTTCTTGTGGTGTTCTACTTTGGCTATCTCACTAAAATATGAAACCATATAAGTTAAGAAAACAACCGTTATGAAAGACAGGTTGGACGTGTTTTGCTCTATCCACTGAGGTTTGAACGGATAGCTAAATCAACGTAAAACATGGCACAGAAGTGTATCAGTTCAAGCCACCACATTTCACAGAACAAGTGGAATGAAGTGATATTAGGGTAAACGAAAGTCTGAAACGAGCGACAATAAGTGTTTACACCTGCACCACTGTTATCCATTCCCAAACATGTCACAAAGAGTCAGTAATCAAATATTCCTAATTAACGAGCTCGGCCAGGCAGTCGACACCCCCTACACGTCCCAAACAAACAGTTACAGACTTCATGCACTAGCGTCATTTCACATTGAGGTAGGAGATGCCTCAACATACTCAGCACATGTACAAGTCAATTAAGTCAATGAAGATTCACAAATTCATTGACTGACTTGCCTTCCTTATTTAGTATCCCTCACCTGACCCCAACATTGTTCACACGGTGGTTTCAACAGACGAAAGCGATTCTACGAGGACGCCTAGGGTAGAAAACCTGTAGCCAATTAATATCTTCCACTCTTAACGGTCATATCTTACAGCTTTTTAACAGAACTGTAGTGCAATACACTCACCATTCAATAGGTGGTCACATACCTCCCCATTCCGCGCCAAAAATTACCAAATGCCAAACGGACCTTGTGTATCCCAGCTGAAGTTACATGAGCAAACACCACCACCCACCCCCCCCCCGACTGACGTAACTCCTCAAGTAAGCGAAGTGGTCAATGCATTCAACCACTTCAAGCTCTATCCTTAAACTGCAAGCAGCTATGGACCAGTCCTAGATCATCATCTTACATTTGACAGATGTGAAACTCATTCAGAAGATACTGCATTTTGTCAGCGTCTTCATCTAACAAGATAATATCATTTGCGTACTTCAAGTCAACCAGATGACCTCCAGGGAGTAAGTCAAACCCAGTGAAAACGGTTGTATCTGAGGTTTCGTCCATCAGCACACCTATGACGAAGTTAAACAAGAATGGCAACAGCAGGTATCCTTAGCAGACACCACTAGTTGTCGTCAGATGACAACTCTCCATAAGCCTTTACATGGTCATCTGAGTTCGACTAGAAAGTTTTGATTAGTGTTAAATAAATGCCAAACCAACTATTTGAATTCTAGTTAAGATTTCATCAGTAGCAAGTCTGTTAGTGCCGATGCAAGCGAAGCGGTGAACGTACTCGACTATTTCACTCTCAAGCATCTTACATTTGACACAAGCAACATGCATGCCAAACATACTCAAATTTATCCTCAATGTGTTCAGAAAACTATATATTTCGTCAGCAACTTCACTCAATAGAACCATATCATCTGTGTACTCTTAGTCAAATAACCACTCTCTCCTAAGTCAATCGCTGAGAAACTGCAAGTGAACAGGGTCAAGCCCATCAACCCATCTATGCTATGACAAAGTTGAATAAGAAATGTCATGGTGGACAACAGTGATCCCGTTTACTTCACACGACAACTTTCTACCAGCCCTTACACGGTTGCGTAAGTTCGAGTAGAGCACCTTGTACAAGAAATATGCGTTGTGTATGACTGTGCTCAAAAAACTGCCGAAGGGTGAAGACTTTTTCAATGCAACCTCTCCAAAGTTTGGAACTTGCCCTATTTTCTCAAACTTCTGTTACTGATCTACGGTTAGACGTTGTGCGACTAGGGACCCTATCATCAGCGGCATGATGTTAATCAAACCGATCTCCTTATGGCTGTTATCCAAAACTCCTGTTTTATAAACCAAAATTATTAACTAACTTCAAAGGGGATTGGCGGATCAATACCTACGTCCCATTTCAGTTAGGACGGGATGGTTGAAAAACGAAGCACAGCTGCAGGCCACTTCCTTAGCTGCCAGCAAATGTGGCTCATTGTCCGGTAGATGAATCTGTCGACGATTGACATGTTCCATACTTACATTTATCGGCCTCATCTGTCATACAAATCTTTTAGCGCTGACTACTAACACTTAGACTAGTTTGCAACTACAAATTACAAACAAAATGATATAGATTCTCCTTCAAATGCAGCCATACCGAAATGGTACAAAACGAACATGAGTAGAGAGAAATCGACAGAGATAAGGTTATGAGAATTGAAAGAAAATTATTTAGTGTTTAGAATTTCAATCGATACTGACGATTAACTCCTAACGTTTCGACAATCACAGTCAGGTGGTTAAAAAATTCTGTACACGACTTTGTACACTAGTCAGTAACTTCTTCGACTGGTTCAATATCTTGCTATAACTACGCCGCTTTCTGACAATCTAATCCAGCCTTAAATAATGATGCATATTGGCACAGCAAATCATTACGTACAACACGACCTAAAAATCCTACTTTATGAAAGTTTGGATCTTCATTGGATGATTTACATTTTCTACTCAGAACTAGGTTGAACTTCGACACTGCTAACAGAAGTTCCACCACATACGACCAATGAAAATAAACACTTATGATCGAAGGTTCGTAACCATATGGTGTCTATCGGTAAAACTGTCTTTCAATCATATGGCTCAACCAAATCAATTGTTATGAGATTCTATACAAAGCGAATACTTCGTCGAATAAAGGTTACACAGTTAGTAACTTTTTGGATTAACATCATCCCTTAACCTGCAGATTATTTCTTTGTACTCCACAAAGAATAGTGCGTGAAAGAAGGCAAAAGCTACGCTTGAGTAGCATAAACTCTTAGGACCTCAGTCACTAACCTCATCTTTCTTCCACTATAGATTACCTGTGGCAGACGAAAGTATATATATTGGTAAGAACGAAGTGGACATTTTGTCTTCAGATGAGTCTGCCCATGATAGTTTCAACTAGACTTCCTGGGCAATTGAAACACATTTAGGCACTCTAATCAAACCACGTGATGGATAAAAGAAAATTCCAAATCACCACTTAGCATTCGATTTAGTCAAAACGTACATCACAGACAACAAAATGATCCTTTGGACTTCACCAACCTACGCCGTTTATGGCATCACCCTGGTATCGCAATGCCCATTAGTGTTGGGAGCACTGCGCTGCAGTTGGCTTCGTTCTACTATTACTGAAACGTGATCATTAGAGGTAGAGGAAATGAGACTTTGGGTGTTTGACGACTATTGCTTTCGTAGCATAAGGCATCTTACCACCACGTCAGTAACGTAGAAATCAGGTGTGGGGTCAGTTGCTGTGAACGTTCATCGACTCATTTGGCTGAGACGTGTTACACATGCCTTGTCACCGTCTATTCCATCAAGCAATGTTAACTGAAGTTGGTTTAGGTTGAAGGTGGCCTAGAAAAGACCTAATGACAAATCAGTGTTCGTATTACAGGGTTGAGATTTAACTGTATCTTTAATGTCACTACCTACAAAAGGATCAACTAATGAGAGCGAGTAAGACCGGTAAGAAAGATAAGGCAAGTAGCACTCCCAACCCCTTATAAGAAGACCACACTATACGTCGATACAGCTTCATGTAAAACATAGAAAACAGTCCACGCCTCAAACCAGCCATGTAAACGCAGTTCTGAGAAACTATAACTTGCAACGACTTCAGATAAGAGTAGAGTGGTGAGTGAAAAGACTCACGGAAGCAAAAAAGATGCCATACAAGCAGTAATAACATGGGACCCGGTATCAACCCATAACAACCTTATTTGCTGTTAATATTTATATAGCAGTTGAAGTAAATTGTGACAATAAAAATCTGGACACGGTACTTTACTGTTATACTGGAGAGGATCTTATCCTTAATAGCATTTGATTAACACCAGTGCTACTGGTGCCTACATCTGGTACCTTAGACTACACTACTGCTGAAAAACAGAACTTTCCAGGTTAAAATCAGCTGAGTTCTTAAGTGGTTAATCCCTAAAAACCATTCAGAAGAAGAACATGTTTAATTATTCAAATGCATGCTTGTACAAATACAATTACAGTGAGTGCATAATGTAGCCATTTTAGAAAAAGGATTTGCTCATAACCGAAGTGTAGAAATTAGGTACATCTGAATTTTTCCTTAAAATAACTATTAGTACTAAGAAGAATTAAACCATAGTGGTATTCATACATAACAGACCAAAATAATTGGATGCATTTGATAGTTGAACTTTTAAAAAAAAAACTAGAAAAGATAGTTAAATGGGTTGGATATATACAGCATTGGGGAATGTGAAAGAAATCAACAAAATACATGATTAGTCTGTACAAATAAATATAATACATAAGATGATGGGGATAAAATATAAAAAAATCACTGTACATCCACATTGCGCTCAAATTATACACATGAGAAGTGCTTAGAATATACAACTCGAAATTGAAAGCCACTCTACTCGGAAAATAATTGAGAAAAGATCAAACAGCTGACAAATAAATAAACTGTACACATTAAAGATCAGGAATGAGGAAAACCAGAATACTAAATAACATAAAATGTACAAATCCAAATAAAGCATGGGAAGGCACTATAAATTATACTGAATATTTACTGAGAAGCATTAAACCAACTTCAATAATCTAGAAAATCAAAGTATGCCTATCTACACAACCACAATTTCATAAAAATATATTGCAAATGGTTTACAAGGATGCTAGTTCATCCATTTTCGACAATTTGGTGCCCTGCAGAGACACGGGATTTTGTCACTTCTATCCTCAAGGTCGAAATTATAGTCATAGCAGAGCTCTTCTCCTTTCTTAATTCGTCTATTCGTAATTATCATAATATGCGACTGATCACCGAAATTTACAAACTCAGCATAACAGTTCGGTTGACACGAGTGGTTAATGTATCGAGCGAGGCCACCACAAACAGTTGCATCAATCACTGTATCATCATCTAGACGAAACATATATATTCCTCTGTTGTGAGCCTCATACTCTTTTTCCCTTTTGTTAGCTACCTCTAGACGAATCATTTCTCCTATGTATTCAATAACCATGGTTTGTTGCTCCAAGTCTCGGGCAGCAAATAAACCTAGTCCCTGAATACGTGAACGACCGAGTATAACATTAGAATTAACCTCTGTTTTAAGTTTCCGATACTGTTGAGAACGGCTGCTCTGATGCTGCTTTGAAATTGCATTATCCATATTGTACACTCCGCTGTTGTAATTTAATCCACAGAAACTTGGATGCGATAGACGTCTAACACCTGGAAGACCTCCCGTTCGATGACTTATTGGTACAGAATATTCTCCTGCATCATGCAAGCGCTTTACATAAGTTTGCATCTTTGGCTCCGATCGTGCACATCCCGATGGATTTATGGCTAGTGGCATTTCAGATATTAGTTCAAGGCGTCCAAAATTGAATACATAGTCCCTTAAGCAGTCAACACCTGGAAGAGATTCTATGGCACGAACAATATGAGATTCGTTTAATCCGAATAAGTCCTCACCTTTCAAAAGCTGTGGGAAAAGTCTTACTAATTTATGTTCTTTGCACAAGTTTTCAATGCGGCAGAGAATCAATTGCCACGCCCCATCACAGGTTTCATGTGTAACTGATACATCGTCCATACCTTTATCAATAGCTGTTATTCGGAAAAAAGGATGGCAATCCCTTTCTAATATTTCACATACGTATCTTGCCCGAGAACGTGGTCGCCGCATTGACCAATAAATCCGTGTGACACGCATGCCGATGGGGTAAATATTCCTAAGGTTGTGAAAATTTCCGCTGTCAATCTGATGAGGTAACAGCTGACCAAGGGAACGTAAAGATACTCCTCCAATACGTACAACGTGTCTGTCGTCATCCTCATGCACTACACGGGCTACCTGACTATTTTCATCCCGATTGATGTACACACGTCGATTTACTACTAGGGAAGATAACTGCATCGGATGAATCTCCTTTGGTTGATGTTGTGGGCAATACATTCCACGATCTGTAAAAAACATGCACTGAATTTTGATTGCACATGGCACATGATAGACGAAGGAACACTTAGGATTATAACAAGGCAAACCAGCTCCAAATAAACCACACTGGGAACAAGCTGTTTCTTTGGCTTTCGCCAACCAGACGTCTATATTATTGAGAGATCCACCAACAGTCTCGTACACTTCATAGCACCATAATGCACAATTAACGTGTATCCAGTTATTTAGATCCAATGGAAGTAAACGACCAGGACCATGCTCTGGAGCATCTCCAGCTTGCTGACATAAATCACAAACTCGTTTGTCATCAGAATGTGAAGTATACATAACTGCAGGATTACTCTTTGATATGGTGATGCCATTGTCTTCCGTGGTACGATTAGATAGTAAATCTGACGAATGATTAGTGCGGTTGGCATACGACTTCCATCGAATACCTTGCCATTTTCGAAACTTGGACAGGACTGTAGGAGTGTTGGCTGAACGTCTCTTATTTGTAACATATTGCTGAGAATGTTGGCGCTTTAGGTTAGTCGGTTTTGATTTTGACAAACCACTTTGTAATAAAATTGGCATGGAACATGGGAAATCAGTCATAATCAGCTGTCGTTGTTGATCAAAATTGTGGTGACTACTGTTCAATAAATCTGTTTGTGTAGAATAGTCTAGGGTACTGTCCAAACACTTATTGCGATACGAAGACAAGAGGCGAGCAAAACTGTACAAACAGCCGTTAGAGCAGAATACAAAATCTACTGAATTTTCAAGACTCATAGTTATTCCAGTGACTGTGGATAAATCATCCAACCATCTATGGTGAACCATATGAGGTGAGACTGGTTTACCACAGCCTTTACATGATTTTACGGAGCGGTGTCTATTGGTCATCAAAGAACTAATACTAATAGGTTCTTCAGAGTAGCGACAAGTTTCCTGTGTGGATAATAGACTGTCATTCTTACTTGAAGGATCGCACTCTAACTTACATGGATTTGATAAAGGTAGGTTGGATGATGGATGTCTCAGGCGAGGTAGGTTTTCTTGTATGCTGCATTGAGTGACACGCGAGACATGGACATCTTGCATCAGCTCATCCTTTGTTGAATCATTTTCAAAATGTAAGGAAATTGGCGTAAACTGCTGTCTTAACTGCGCTTCCAAACTGCGCATTACAACTTCACTGTGAGGTCGCTTTTGGTCTAGGGTTATCTGTGCACCTGATCTAGTGATTTGAAAGTCAATAGAATTTTCTTCAACGTCCAGTAGTTCGGAAATACGATGGATGATATTAGGTATATTTACACTTGTTGCTGGATTGATAGTAAACGTGATATGTAGTTTATCATTTTCATTCAAAACAGAATCAAGTGAGGTTTTAGGTGATTTTAGATGAGGCGGTATCATAGTTTCCCCAGTTTCGGAATCGACGAATGAGGCAGAAGTAATACCACCAGACACGCCAGGTTTTTCGAGGTTATACTCATCTGAAACTCCTGATAAATCGTTTTCCACCTTAAGATCAGATAAGTTGGAGCTGTTAACATTGTCCGAAGAAAAATCAATTCGCTTTTCTGGACAGGGAGCTAGGTGAATGGGTTGACACAGGAGACGAGGATTAGGCATGTGATATAAAGCGAGAGGAGGAGTACCTCTTTCTGTTTCTGTTCTTTCCAAGAAATCTGACTGATTTTGAGAGAACATATGAAGAAGGGATTGAGGCATGAGTCTCTCACCTGAGGATTTGCATGAGTCACAACCGACTTTAATTTCATCACAAACATCTTCAAACTTTTTCTTGGAAAACTGATTCATCCTGGAGAACAAGGCCTTCATGTTATTCTCAAACGATGGAGGTTCTGGTGAGGCACACACTGAGTCACATTCAACAGATGCCAACTTGGGAACTTTTGAAGAATAAAGAACTGGACCAGGTGGCACAACTACTTTAAGATGATGCGTGAGATATGAATCGACAACTTCACTTGAGGTAGTCGAATCTATACATTTTGGGAACTTAAGAGACATCGGTCCACGCAGATACTTCAGCCCACGTCTCTGAAGAATTATTTCCTCGACACTCCCTCTGAACACCACGGAATCACACAAACCTGGGGGTGGTAAAACTGAAGAAAAGGGTTGCAGCGTTGGAGTAGAGACCAGTAACTTAAGATCAATGCCTTTAAGCTTATTTATCTCTTCCTGAGCACCAGAGTGGATTGAACGAACACCTTCGTGTGTAGGAATGCTCTTATTTGTTATAGAAGCTACATGAAAAGATGGATTACCAACAGTTTTCCTACGCTTGTTATTTCCAGGCAGTGAGGCATGCGACCGCTTCCTAGGTATACTTGCGGTACTCTGACCGTTCGTGATTGGATTACTCGATGAAGGAAGACTGTGATTTGAAGCTACACCGACAGAAGATACCGGGACCATAGAAAAGTTTGTGTTGGTCGGAATTAAAGGATGACGGAAGGTAACCGAAGTGTTCGGTTGTGTACACCTTTTATCAATGCTAGGAGTTGAAGCTGACATTGAATACTTACTATCACCAGCAGCTTCCATGGGCGAAGATATGCTAACTGTCCCATAAAGTAAGGGCTGCGTAGACTGTACAGGATTTTGGATAAAACGAATACTCGAGGGGTTAATAGAAATTGTATGGTTAGGAAGAGATGAATTTACACCATCAGGAGCATGATTTGGCGTAGAGTGTGGCGTTGTATTAGTATCTGAACATGCCTTAGTGACTGAACTCGGAGTGGTTTGTACAATGCTGGTCCTAACTGGAGATAATATAGGAGTACGGATTCGCTGTACTGGAGCTGTAGATAATGTGGAATGTGGTATCGTAAACTGAGTTTGCCCCGCGTGGTTCTGGAAATTATGCAACACATTAGGATGAAATAAGACATGAGCAGCAGTTGTTGTCAACGTCTGACCGATCTGTGAAACAATGTGGTGTTGCGTAACCTGAAGTACAGGATTGGTGGATGAGTCTGAACACAACTGAACGAAGGAAACACCCTGGTTGCCATAATGTCCAGAAACACTCTGCGAAGGATTAGATGATAACTGAATAATTCCATGGGTTTGGTCGACTATATATCGCTGCACAGGTTGTTGGGTAACCATATGACATGGATTGTTGGGCTGAAACACAGTTTGAGCTTTACATGTTTGGAGCACAGGCGAGTTTAAATTGTTGGAGTGTGGAGATGGAGCTGGAGAAATTGTTGGTGAAGTTATTAGTCCAGAACTGGGAGTATTCGCTCTAGGATTCGGTGAAGAAACAACCGTAAACTCACGTGCTCTACAGGAAAGAACGAACATGCCTTCACATGGCTCATCACTTCGTGCAACCGACAGCACATAGTCGATAGTTTCGTCTAACTTGTCCAAGTCCATCCTGGCACGGTCTTGATCATGCAGTGGAGAAGTGTCTGTGAGCCTACCACACCCGTTGACATCCCTAGCGGCATCGATTTTCTCAATATGCGAAGACAGGTCACTAATACTCTCTGGCCTAGAAACAGACCCATTGCATGGAGAAAGGATATGGACAGTATCTGGCACCAAACTGCTAGAAGGCGAAACGGAGTCGGTTGCTGCTTTACTGATGACACACGGATATGCTTTGTCATTGAGATCAGGTAGTTTAGGTGGGGAAACAGTGTCAACTTTGTGACAAACTGCCAACTTTCCGGGTTCATCAGATACTTCTGGTTGGTCAAACTCGGAGGACTTATCAACAAATCCGGATATTATGTCCGGGGGGACTATACGATTGCACATAGCTGACACCATAGGGACTTGGGAGGATTCACATTCCCTAAGAGCACTATTAAAAGGACAGTGAAACGCGTCAACTAGTCGGAGAACTTGGTCTTCATGTGAAGTATGTGACAAGCCTTTATCAGGAAACTCATTGTTTGGGCTATATCGTAGAGTTTTGTACAACGATGGATGAGCTGTTGCCGAAGAATTCAAGTAACTAAGTGTATCGTCAGATGTCTTATTCATTCCACTGAACTCCATACCACATGACGCGCATTAAAATGTTGCCTCCCAAGCTGAAAAAATCAGTGTGAATAAAAGAACCAGTAAGTACTGAGATTATTACTAAACTGGGCAACTGATAAAGACGACTGAGCACAATCTTCTTAGTAATTATAAATTACACGACTAAGTACACGTCAAAACTTCAACATAACTTATCGTAAAACTGCTTACCATCATTAGAAATAAATCCAATTTCTACAGCATTACGACGAACCATACGCGTTCAAAGAAGGAAATCATAAGAGGTCGCTATTTCAAACAAAGCGCATGTAGATTACCCCTTCACACAGCATATACACATTAAAATCTACTTAAGTTAAGTCAAATTCCACAAACCACATAGTTGCTCACTTATTACTTGGATTAGGTTTGGATAAATCATGCTGAAATTCAATATCAAATACCTATCGACGCTTCAGTGTGACACTCTAAATGTAAATGAGAACTTCGGACTGCATATTGTAGAAGTGGCAAACGATTTTTACTTGGGCTTTATATCTGTGTACATGAAATAGTTTTCTTGCCTCCAATGTTCACAGTTTTTCTCCCGGTTCCGAAAACCTAAACGGCCAAACGTAATCAGATATTATTGATCAGTTGCCTACAGGCAGCGATGCTGTACGGTCTGTAAGACCTCGAGAGGCTTCTTAAGTACAGATCATCTGTACCACAGGATCCGGTGGGTCTCTAACCTTTGAAACGCGGGAGAAGGGGCTGTGACAACCTGAGGGGAATTCCACAGTTTACATACCCCAGCTGCAAATGAGTTAGTACGGAACTTCTTACATGCTCCCTAATTCCTAACTCATAAAGGATGATGTCCAACACGAGAGTTATGGTCAACATTAAGCAGCCATCCTCTACGATGGTGATTATGGGCGACACGATTCCCCACGATCATGTACCCCATGATCATTCTGTGTTAGATAGGTTGCAGCCAGAAGCCCATATTCACAGTCAGTGAACACTAACTCCCTAGGTAAACAATGGGTCGGCTGCCACTCTTCCTATAACCTTTGGAACTGAAAAGATAAGGGAAACTGACCTGTAGTTAAAGGCGATCGGCTTATTTCCAATTCTATGTAATGGGATTACGACACATTTCCAAATGGAGAGCAGCCTTCATTCTAGAAGGGAATATCTCAAGAGGTTTCCAAGTGGAAAACTGAAAGCACCGGCACATACTTCAAATAGTCTTGGGTGAACAGGGCCAGTTCCTGAAGATTTATTATGATTTAAGATCCTTAAAATTCCCCTGGTTCTAGGAAGCTCAAATTCTATGCAGCTTAACCCTTGTCCAGTTTTATCGTTGGGTGATGTGCAGTTCTCCCTCTCAAGTGACATGTTATTCCCGAGATAATAGGTTAACTAGCCCCGAGTTAGTCCGATGAATCTTTAAACTATCACAATCCTGAGTACGGCGCCCCATAATCCCCATCCGGTGTTCTGGAGGAATGTGTCTAGCAAGTTACTCGGTCCCGCCTTATTTTTACTGTGCATGGGATGCTGGAGTTCTCGTAATTTGTCCAATCATTCTTGTTTCCAGTGTCCTGCCCTTGGTTCCAAGCTGAACATTTACGCCGTGTAAGCCTGCAAATGATAGACTTCAGCCACAGAAAGCATGTCCTTTTGCCTCTACATGGAAAAATCAGTTGTTTGAGGGACTGTGTTCTCTATCAATTCACATATGGTGTCCATATCAAGTCACCTATCAAGGTTTAACCAAATGGGGCCTTATGGATTTTTTCTGACCTTTTCGTAATATGTTTTCGTATGATGTATGGCTAGTGATTGGCAGGTAGATAGGTAGGAAAGTAACCTAAGTGTAGGAATGCCGAGGGAAACAAGCACATGACCACTCGATCTACGAGGTCTATGCACACCAGTCAACCAATTCGCAATATCGTAATGTAGTCAGAATGGCTTTCTATCAGACCCCCACCAAACATCCTACGATATGTTCGGTCAAGCGGTTTTCCAATGATAATTCCAAAATTCTCAGGCTAAAGCAATGGAATAACAGTAATGATAAGCTGAGGACTGTTCAAAGCTAAAGCTCGTCTGACAGATCATACTGTATGCCTACTGAATACTGTGGTGTCTCCCTGAGGGTAGTGATAAGACTGACCCTAACAGGGACATTCGCAAAACAATTCTACACCGGATTACACCGTAGAGGAAATCCCGCTGGATTTCGACTGAGGACAAGTGTACAGAACAACACACTTTCCAATTCCTGCGATCTGTCCTTCCGAGTTAAGTTGAGCTCTGCATGAAGAGTGACCCATGTCCCACAAATAACCACTATGGTAAGACGATCCTCTGTAACCAGCAACCTCGCATCACTTAAGCTGGGGCCAAAACCACGCCCACTGCAACAGATGCAGTGAGCCAGCATGTGAAAACCTAGAGTCCTAGCAGCAATTCGAAAGAATGAAATTACGTGGCTAGAACATAACCTGCTGGCTTTGTAAAGCATCTCCAAGCAAGGAAGCAGAATCAACAGCATCAAAGTCCGCGAAGCAGGTTGTTTAGCAGCCGGCACAGAATTCTTGGGTTTGGAACACGGTAGAGGAAAACTCTTGTTTGTCCCCCAAGATTTGCATCTTTAGGCACGGATTGGCCGGTGGCAAGTGCCTAAATCTTTTTTCAGTCTCTCATTGTCCTTCTGCTTTACACTCGCTCACCTAAATATTCCTGGGGAAAGCATTCGATGCCATGACTCCGTAGCTGCTCTGGCTATGTCGGAGAATCGTAGGTTACTCGAATTAGCCTAGTACCATAGATGACTGAGGAGTGAAGTGGCCCCAGAAGATGGCGGAGTTTACGGTCCCAACGCATCTCAACTTATATGTATCGTAGTACCCACACATTCAGGATTTCCTAGTATAGCGGTTGAAAATCACGGGTCTTTTTGACGAAATTTCCTGCTACTACGAAGTACTTTTCTCACTGACTGGTATCTATCAGGTCTACGGCTAACTTCTAACATTTTTTGATGATAATATTTTCAGATTATGTTCTCCACAATCAGTCACTTTCCTTAAACGTAAGGTATAGGAGCAAGCTAAGATTACGGTTCTAATCGATCTTTTTAGATCTAAGCTTCTCTCTGTATACAGCCATAACTTCATGTTTCTGGGGTTGACTTACAGAGTCTGGATCTCCAGTACCGTGATTCAGTGTCAAGAATAACGAAGGTTGCCAATGAACTGTATGAAAGGGCTTTGACCATGCCTTCGAGGTACTCCGATTGTGATATGTATTTCAAAAACTTCATTTCAATTTGGTCGTGAGCTGGTTCCATGGTGGGCTGAGTAGGGGGCTTGATTACTGTACAAAGATTGCATCTTTTCCTGTGGTGGCAAATTTCTTGTCTTAACCTGATTCGTTTTCCTCCGCTTTCTCATCCGGCGCCTATGAGATGTGGCACTCACATCCGCCACTGAAGGGATCTGTTACACAGCTATGCTAGTGGCACAGCAGTCTGTACGATTGACGTTTCAACAAGTAGCTGATTCTTTCGTGCCTCCCCTTCAACTACGAAACTCGGCAATGAAAATTAAAGAAAGGGTAGTCTTAGAGCTATGGCCTTCTTATCTACAGTCCTCAAGGATGGTGCCCGCCCAATCCAACTTCCTGCCAAGGAAGTCAGTTTGAGTAGAAGCCTCGAATGTAGGATGCTTAAAGACACATCCAATTAGTCACCAGCCTGCCTGGCAGTCACCACTGGCCTTGTCACAAGGGCGCGAACACTGACCGCCAACAAATGTGCTAACCAGAGGTACATCGTGGTAACCAAGGGGCTGGCTAGGAACACTGAATCAGTGGGTCCATTTTGAAGATACCTCACAATCCATAACTCAAGTATGGCTACTGAAATTTCCACGACACACCAAGTGGATGGGCACTGACACCTGCATTTCAGCGTAAGGTACGTACGTCCATATCTAGACAGACACCGAACCAAAACACAGAAATCATCTCTGATTTATCAAACTTGTTTAAAATGCAAGCGTCCAATTTCAGTTTGGAGACCGCTTTGATTTCTAATTGCGAATCGTGAACAGTTGTCAAATGTCTATTGCCACTAAGAGTGAGAAGATTTCGCATTTCCAATGGGTCGCTGGCTCGCGTTTCTCCATTCTTCTGGACCCCGAAGCAACGGCTTACCAAAAGCCAGGAAGAAAGCCTACCAACAGCCGTCTATTCCAGGCAGAAGCAGATCACATTTACCGCGAATCATATTCTCATCATGGAACATCAAGGGTTCGATGGGACCTATTTCTGCAGAGGAAAACCCTTTTACCACACCGGTGCCACTTGCGAAAGTTATGGCTTGGCATAAAACGAATCCCAGTAAAAGTATTCATGGTTACATATTCGTCGCCGTCTTGAATTTATTTTTTGTTCCAAAAGCTATTGTTTCGCACCTTTTTTGTTACTTACTGTCACATCCAATGTCATCAAAATGCCAAAAGCTGCCAGGCCTTTAAGAATACATACCGATGAGTTCGGTCGGCACAATCACCAGAACCTCTGCAAGAATATCTACATCCTTAGTGATAATTTGTGGTGGAGTCCTTTATAGTATGAAATGTTAAGGCGAATCCGCCTTGAAGTCTATCCTATGACTTCTGAGGAAGTAAAATGCGGTGGCAAAACGATGGTATTTTGGCGCCCACAAACTGTTGAATTCGGGTACGGCCTCCAGGTGAATTGCTGGGAAGGTGGTGGATTGAGGGAAAGAAGAAATACCAGCGATTCATCAGTTAACCCCCATGTAATCCCCATGGACTACAAAAGCAAATGGAAACGGTCAAGCATATGCGAAGGAAAACATCAAATGAACCAAACACGCACACCGGAAACTAAATGAAAGAAGCCAGAAAAGTTAGAATTTTTGCTTCAGGAATAGACTCCTGGTTATATCAGCAGAGAACATTCTTCTGCTTGTTGTTAAGTCAGATTTATTACCTGAACCTTCAAGCATACAAAACGAAAATGAGATCAACTACTGTTTAGCACTTTCTCTTCACGGTAAACATCAGTCCCCGGGTGAACTCGCATTTTATACCCCTACTGTCCCAGACACCTCATTGTGACGGTCAGTGTCACCTCAAATTTAGTGTGGAAACTCATCAACCGACTTCTCAGCCTACATACGGCGCAAGAGGGTCACCACCCATTTTCTCCTGTAGCACATTGTCTATCTCCCCTGAAAGGCCACCCATGTGATGCGGTCGGT